GCGAAGACTTGCTGCGGTTCAAGACAGCCAAGAAATATGTATTAGGAATGATTTCTCTTTAAATGATCTAGGAAAAATGTCAGCAACACTATATGTCTATCTTTTAAGATTAACTTGCAAGAAAGATTCGACCCGAACGACGGGTCGCGACCGATGTCGTGGGCAGCCTATACTCCTAAAGATGTAGAGGTTTGCAAAAACAAATTTGGATGCCCAGAACAACTATTCAACGCGGCCGAAGTCGCTGCAACATCTAGTTTTATAATATACACAGTAGCGGTTTGACGCTCTAATGCTAGCAATGTTCAAATAACGGGTCTAACATGATTCTAATTTTTCAATTTATTATTTCTCTGAAACATGTTGGATTCCGTCTGGAAATCCTGATATTAAATGGATGTTTAAATATAACACTTTGACGGTTTAAGACGCGATATATTAGTTAAACTTATTGAAAATGATTTTTAACTTCGGCCCGACGTTTCGGATGCTTTGCAGCAGCCGTGGTCACAATGCAGACCCCCTTATGCAGCAGAAATGCTTCCCTTTGCAGCAAACGTGGTTACAATGCAGTCCCCCGTTAACCACGGCTGCTGTGAAGGAAGGCCTTTCTGCTGCGTTAGGTAAGCATTTTTGTTACAATATTTTCTTTTATTTAACTTTGTTAGTTATAAACACCACAGAACTTATTCTATGAATACAAAAAAAAAATATGTCAAGTTTTAACATTTTATCTGGAAAATATTGACGGATACAGTTAAACAAAAGATGTTAAAAACAGTGTATGGTATGTTTTTTAATATCGAATTTCATACATTAAACCAAAGTTGTATGGAGAAGATAGTGAGGTACAGTTAAAGTAAAATATACAAATTTTGTATCAGTTCTTCACAATTTTCAGCTAAAAGCCGTTAATTTTTTATATACTTTTATTTAATTTCCTAAATGAGATAATTACTTTACTTAATAAAACGTATTTTAACAAAAATATTAGTCAAAAATACGTCTTCGTATAGACAAACAAGGGGATCCCTGGAAGGTGGATCCCTGGAACGGTGTCGACCTATTTTGGATATAGACATTTAGAAATACAGGGATTGAAGCCGAAATGCGGATTGACGCTTGTTGGGTTTTTCATCTGTGGACGGTGATTCGGAAGAATTATCTTCTTCTTTATAGATATATGCTATTTATTGCCCACGAAGTCGGTCGCGTTCCATTCTTCTTGCAAGTTAATCTTAAAAAATAGACATATAGCGTCACGGACTTTTTTTAGATCGTTTAAAGTAGAATCATTCTTTTAAATAAAACGCTTTAACGGTTTAAAACGCTATATATGACCACGGCTGCTGCAAAGCATCCGAAACGTCGTTTGCAGCGTACGCATCGGACACACATACAATGTTGAATAATTTTCTCCTTCTTTTCACATTTTCCGCAGTTTCTTTGCTCCTATTAGTTATAGCGCAATGCTTTAACTTATGCTCGACCAGTAGTTCCTGAGATAAGCGCGTTCAAACAAACAAACTCTTCAGCCATATATGGGTAGACGATACAAAATCTATATGAAAACTAAATTGTGTCAAAAAGAGTATTTGCTATTACCCCGTGAAAATATCAACCCTTTAGTCTACAAAATGAATCACGGAGGTATCTTTAAAAAATGGTGGGCGTGGCATTTCCACAATTTTCGCCATCAGCAACAAGTGGTGGGTTGCTGATGTTTGTCAAATGGTTTTTGCTGTAATTTGCGACTGAATAATTTTGGCATTACACATTTTTTGTGGGGGTTACGACCTGCGCTTACGTCTGTGCGCGCAAAAAGTGGTTAAGCACGAATTTGGTTTCGGTTTTTTGTATGTGCCTACCCTCAATTATCACGTGACATATTCTGCTTCGTTCGTGCTGTATGTTAAATAAAGTTGTGTCTCGATTCGGCTTCGGCTTAGAACTAATTTAAGTTCAGAGTTCCGAGGAATAAAACATTTTAATTTTAAACAAGGCATAGAAGTTTAAGCTATTAATAAAATCAATTATTAAAACGGACATAGATATATAGCTAGCGCATTTGAGGTAAGTTTACCCCATTTTAAGCAATTGTACACATATTTTTAAAATAAAATATTCCTCAAAGAACTTCAAAGATATTAAGCGTTTAGGTAAAAGACAACTTATTATCTGCTAACTTAACGGTTCGTTTGAAGTCATTGCTCAATAAGGTAGTACTTACAGCGAAAATCAACCGAACTCCGCACTCGAACCGCACTAATTTTCGGTTCCGGTTAAAGCTACATGGGACATCACTAATATTAATTAACCGGCGCTGTAGGCAGTAGAACCAATTTGATTAATGAGTGTAGATAATATTTAAATAATATCTTGACAACCAATTAGTTAGGAACGGGCAAAAATTACGAATTCGTTTCTTCGCTGTGCGATGTTTTATAGCCTAAAGTTTTCTTCGATAAATGGTCTAACCAATAACACCAATTTAATTCAATTCTCTCTTTAGCTTTATAATATTAATATAGATAACACATAATATATATTCGACCGCCTCTGTAGCCAAATGGTTAAACGTCTTGCCTAGCATTGCGTTAAGCACGAGGTCTCTAGTTCGAATCGCAGGGAAACAATAGATTATTTCGGTCAGGCAATGCACAAAAGAATAAACCGAACAGAGCTTGGGGATTTTAATTTGATATTTTTTCACCAAAATATACATAAATCATAAAACGATGAAAAAGAATTTGTTTTAATGCAATTAAAACAAGCAAAATGTGTCTTAAATTTATTTAAACATTAATACAACATTGAACATAAATTTGGCAATAGTGATGTAAATTATAAGTACATTAGAGTACAGTCAGAAGAAAAAAATAGGCAGCTGTCAAGAATACAATATTACAATTAACTTAAAAAATATATTTGTAAATAATAATAATATTTATATTTTTTAACATAAAAAAAATGACAAAATCCATATTATAAATATAATCAAACAGGACACAAGTTGCACATCTGACTGTACTTGTTTAGCGTGATGTAAAGTATATTTAACTATTTGAGTAATTTTAAATTTCCCGTGAAATTTCAATGAATACAAAAGTAACGATTTAAGTCTTAAATTGAATTTTAATTATTAACACAGGCAGGTTTCGAACGAACAACCAGAAGCCTTACTTAAGTTTTAAGGTGAAATATAGAATAAACACAAATCCACTCTGTTGGTTATAAGTTCGTAACCGCTTGTGTTATTTTTTCCAATCTAAAATAGGCTTTATTTTAATAATTATCTTGAGGCATATCTATTATAGAGCTTGTATTGTCGAAAAATAGGCAGCCTATATGACTAACTTTGTCAAATCAAACGAAGAGAAACCGGTTCAAACCAGTTCTCTTCGTCATTAACTATATGACACTAAAGATTATTTTTTGTACATTTTTCGTTATATTGGTTAAATCTATTTTGCATTCAAATGAAACCCTTTCAACGGTTAAAAACGCGTAATACGTTTAAGTATCGAGACGTAGTTAAAATGGTATGACTGTTATATTTCAAGTTTTAAACAGTTCAATTTAAATGCGTCCTAATCGCGAATAGTTTCAGTTTTAAACTTTCCTTTTACAATAATTACACATTATTTATAATGTCGAAAAAATACAATTGAAATTATTTTTTGTCCAAGAAACATTAAATCGAATTTGTGACCTCGTAGTTCAATTAACAACCTAAATAATGCAATGCAAAAATTAATTAAATATAAATAATTTTGCCCTTTTAAATAAAACACTTTAACGGTTTAAAACGCGATATATTAGTTAAACTTATTTGAAAATGATTTTTAACTTCGGGGAACGGGGAGACTCCCCGTGACCACGGCTGCTGCAAAGCATCCGAAACGTCGGGCCGAAGTTAAAAATCATTTTCAAATAAGTTTAACTAATATATCGCGTTTTAAACCGTTAAAGTGTTTTATTTAAATGTGTACTACTCGCGTAAACTATAGACAGTATTTAATTTTGCCCTTTCATTTGTTTTGTATATTATAAACATTCAGAAATATCTCCCATAACACCAATTAGAATACCAAGCCAGACTCACACTTAGCCAATATTTACATTAGCTATCCTTCACAAAATGTATAAAAAATACTTTTGCTTAACTCCATGGACGGTTAAAAGAAACTGCTCTACTGTTTCTGTAGAACTGGCCGTCAAACATATTAAAAAAAAAACTATGAAAAAATGCACTTTCCCTAATCCACACAAATGCATTTACAAAAACCGTTTTTATATTATGTCAATTACAAAAAAACAAGTCACATCTTATTACAGTTATCCACTGCCAACATTAATACCACACATTTTTAATTAATCCATTTTTTGCCTCGGACACGAAGCAAAAAATAAACATTGTGTTCCTTTTGTCTACTAATTGAGGAAAGGGGACGAAATATAATAATATTAACGAAACGACTCTTTTATGTATATTTTCATCTAAAAATAGCTTATTTCTCTAAGCACATATATAATTCACCGATTGAAATTCAGTTAGAATTACTATAATGACGTCATCCTTTGATCTAAATGCTATCTCTTTCTAACACAAAAGATCGCAGTCTCCTTCGCACTAATTGCCATAGTGCCATCTCTTTCATTTAAAATGGACAAATGGTAGCATCCTAACTATCAAAAATTAGACTTGCATAGCTGACATCATATATGCTATCTCACTTGCACGTCACTAAGCCGTATACAGCCATCTCTCTCTATTGATACGAGCTCTAATGATTTACGTTCCAGAACACACAGTAATTGACAACTAATACAATTTGAGCTTTATTTTATCTATCATAATGCTTTGTAAGGCTGCCCGATCACACGGTATAAAGCAAAGCATTATAATCTATGGTATAAATAGAATTAAGTAACGTGTAACGGGCAGCGTAGGGTAGGTCGGGTTGACCATTTGTTGTCGGTAGGTGAGAACCTATACTCTAGGCGCCAACTTTATTCCGCCGCTTGTTAAGAAGTGCGTTGTTACTCTGCTCCAAAGCCTTTATTTGAACCTGAAAAAATAATTTGAAAGTGAGTTATTTTCCATATTGAAAACGTCATAATGACATATATAATCTATATATTAAATTGCTTTTGGCTATATATGTCATATTTAATAGGTATATGTTATTTATTAGTTTTTTTTGTAACAATAATATATTATATAGATCTATATCACAATAATGTATAATATATTGCTTGAAGAAAAGTTTTTAAACATGTTAAGTATATAAATTAAAAGTTATGACACAAAAAATTAGTGACAATGGTTAAACTGAACATTTTAGTTTCTGGTTAGTAATATAACAACAAAAATTAGTCTTATTGCATATGACTGGTGTATGAAGAAAATTAGGTCCTTCGAGCCGGATAAAAAAGCGATATAAATCCGAGTTTTACCATCTTTAATTTACTAAATTAGTTACACATATTTGTATTATACCTTATTTGATATCCGTACCTGGTCGTAGTCAACTCTCATGGTCGCTAGGGATCTGGTCATCTCGTCTTGGACCTCTGCCCAGGCTTCCCCAGTGTCCCGAAGAACTGAGTGGGTGTACAGCGGAGTTTGGGGCACTTGGGTGTATTGGCGTACCCAGGGACTAGACATTACCTGCAAAAATAATCAATAATAAGCAAAAATATATACGGAAATCCACAGACGGAAGCCGAAAATAGATTATACTTCAAGCTTTTTTAATGTATTCGTTCGGGTTCGTGACCCAGGCGAAATGTTGATATTTCTGCCACCCGTTGAGATTGAAGTCATACATACATGACTACTACCATTTGACCAACAACAGCGTCAAAGACGAGACGCCATTTTAATACTCCTATATAGCACCTAAAAATTATTTATTTATTCATTTTGAATTTCTATTTATTTGTTATCTAGTTCTGTAGAAGCTACTGAATGTTAACAGATTATTGTATCTACGTATTGGTATGAACGGTATGCAAAGGTGAAAATCGACTCTTAACTAAAGTTAATACGATTGAATATCGCTTAAAGTTACCTGGTGAATGGTAAGACGTTTAGCTGGATCGACAGATAACATCCCACGAATCAAGTTCTTGGCGTCCGCTGATACGTTAGACCATTCCGGCTCAGGAAAATCGTATTGGCCTAACCTGATGCGCTGAAATAGAAACAAATAAAGATTAGATATTAACTTATATTATTAAGTAATAAAACGGGATAACTTCATAACGCGTTACGTTATGAAGTAGTTTCGAATCCCATAAGAAACTATCAAAAATACGCATTTTTTAAGGGTAACAGAAACATAGTTTCAAGAAAATTTGCATAAATTACTGTAAACATAGATCATACAATTATATAAACGGTCTATTTACTAAAATATTCGATTCTAGATATTTATAAATTAATAATCAAGAAGCTATAGATATCAATCCCCCCCCCTCCCCCTTAAAATTATATACCCACCTTTTTCATACCCGGCGATATCGCTAAGCCATGGTTAGAATAAAAAGGCGGGAACCCACACAGCAGTATGTACATCACGACGCCCAGGGACCAGATGTCGCAGGATTTGTCATATTTTTCTGGGCCTAACACCTGGAATCAGACATGTAAGATTATACAAGGTTTAGCGGCCATTTTCAAAATATATACTTTTTGGAAGTTTACAGGGTTGCGCAGGAGTAAATGGCATTAATGATTTTTAGCTTAAAGGCGAAAGGCGAAACCGCATAAAAAACGGACAAAAACCAAAGTAACGATTCTTAGGACCTTGAATCAGTACGCCTATTATTTTGTTTTTTATAGAAAAAACATTATATATATATATGGATATAGATCTATCTAATAATGATCTTTAATCGATCGAAAACTTAGTAATTCTTCAATTACTTGTTACGTCGAGAATCATAAGACGTTGAACTTAGTAGAGGTGCGCGTGAGGTGCACGCATACCAGGATTTAACAATACCGATGATGACCTCAAACGGTGGCTTAAATAAACACAGACCACTATGGATATTGGTTCGAATCCCATGACATTTTATCAATGTAATTACTTTTTTTTTAATACATAAATGTTTGTACTCGAGTGTGTTTTGTTTTCCGTAGCTACGACGATTGTCTACTATTGCATTAAGCATCACCTCCAGTTCCGAACGATACATTTTCGGTCGGGCTGGGCACAGAAATCTAATAATTTACGTGCATGCACCACCCTGTTTCCCACAAACAGGATTTTTCATACATTTAGTGTCATACCTAGACTGGGTTCAAATCCTGTATATATTATGTATAACTTAACATTTAAGTTCTGTGTGTAGTTTACGCGAGTAGTAGACAGTAAACAAAACACTTTTAACGGTTTAAAACGCGAAATGTATTTATTTAAACTTATTTGCAAGTTGTTTTAACTACGATGCTTCGCATCAGGTGAGCTTTGCCGTTTCCCAAAACATTTCGCGTTCAAAACCGTTCTATACCCGTTAAATAGTGTTCTATTTACATATGTAGCATTTTCTTGTAATAAGTGCGACGTACAAGGTGGTTGTGTTTTAATTCAATTTCGTTGCGACCATTATCTAATCGTTAAGTATACAGCAGGTACAGCAGTCACAAAAAAAATATTGGACGTTTTGGCGTGTCCCGCGTTGATATCGGCTTGGAACGCTGCTATGTGGGTGGGAGATTAAAGAGTTGAACGGAGACTTACCCAAGTAACAAGGGGTACAAGGGGCATTACCTTCACCGGCAAAAGCGGTTTTTGTACTTCCTCGGGGGCGGACCTAGCGGTCGCGAGTTGAAATCTCAACCGTATCATCTAATTTCAATTTAACATGTTTTTTTATCACCTTTAATATTCTCTGTAGTTTACGCGAATAGCACACATTTAAATTAAATACTTTTAACGGTTTAAAACGCGAAATATATTAGTAAACAACATTTAACATTTATTTTAACATCCCGTTTCGGATGCTTTGCAACCATGATCACGGGAGAATAAGGATGGAGGAATTTTGGTAGTATAGTAAATAAGGTAACTAATATATTTTGCGTTTTCAACCGTTAAATGTTTTATTTGAAATTTATCATCTTTCTCCTAAAACAACTTCATTTTACTAATGAAGTTGTTTTAGGAGAAAGATTTGTAAGTAACGAAGGACTGGTTGTAAAACGAAGTGCCGGTTGAAGTCTTTGGGGGAGGCGTATGTCCAGCAGTGGACACGGAACGACTAACACGATACATAAATACTACTCTATAAATATGTGTGTGCACTCGGGTTCCTGGTTCGAATCCCGGGAACACAAATGGGATTTTGATACTCACTTCTGGCGCAACATAGTACGGTGTATAGCAAGGTGTTTGCAGCGTGTCTGCTTGCGTCAGTGTTTCCTTCGCGAAACCGAAGTCAGTCAATTTGAGTATTGCATTGGGCTCCATACTTGTGTATAGCAAGTTCTCGGGTTTGATGTCCCGGTGTGCAATATCCGAGTCGTGCAAGTGTCGTACAGCTACGCATATTGAGTGCATAATCTAAAAAAAAAATATATAATAAATAGAGAACAGACAAGCAATTACGTTTACATGATAGATGGTGATAACCCGACTGTATTTGGGAATCTATAGGCTGAAACCGAAACGCTAACTTTAATAACGGATGTTTAATATTGGACGGTTCGTGACTTAGCCGATATTTTTATATTCCTATCGAGTTATACTTGGATTTATATTTTGGACCTGGTAGAAATTGAACCCAAGACTGTTTACCGATTATCTGCAACTAAAGTACGCGTTGTCTTTAGCAGTGGGAATGTTATTTGGTGGTTCGAGCGGTATTTTATGATACAGGATATAACATGTAAACAAAACAATCCAGAAATCCACAGACGGTGTTAACGGTGGTTCGTGACCCGGACGGAATTTCGATATACCTACCACCAATTTAATATCGAGTTTTCCAGCCGGAATGAATGACGGATGATGATATTTACCTCAGCTGCTTGTCTCTCTGTGAATGCTCCATCACGGTTGTCCTGTATTCTCTGGAACAACTCACCACCGTCCATACACTCCATCACCACTAGCAGACACCTTTTGCCCCCATACGTATTGTCATACACGTCTACAATCTGAAAAATAATGGAATTTCATGAAGGGTGAATTTTTTAACTTGTTAATTTTGAAATAAATCAAACAAACTAAACTCAAACTTGGTTAGCAATGTGTGAAGAATGCATAAAGTAAATATGAGCTTTTACATACATTACAACATTAAAAGTTAAACAAGATTCTCTTCGGCTAATATATAAAGCTTATAAGTTTGTTTGTTTGTTTATTTGACCGCGCTAATCTCAGGAACTAGGGGTTTAAATTGAAAAATTAATTCATCAACACAAAAATAATTTTACAATTAGAACCAGCAATTCCTGAGATTAGCGCGGCCAAACAAATTGCAGCTTTATAATATTAGCATAGATTTATTTTCTACAAAATACCGACATATGCCAATATTGTGAAATAAATGTCATTGTTCGAACAATCCACAATTACCGTTGACATATTGCCACAAAATTAACAATGGCTTGCTTAATGTGACAAATGAGACCAAGGCTGTCTCTAGGCATTGTTGTAGAAGGCGATCTCTAGTTTTATAAATACAGACATTCCTACGTACATAAATACTAACATTATAAAGTTTGATGGATGGTTTGAAGCTACTGGTTCAAGTAAAATTTATCCTTCTATTCCTATTGAAACATCACGATGCAACCACTAGGAGCGAAGCAACAGTGGAAAATGTGGAAAAATCGGGAAAAACTATTCTTTGTGGGTTCTCGTTGCGTGCGCTGCGAAAACGGTTAAAGATACCCATAAAATATGTATGAAAGAATGATTCCTCTTTAAATGATCGAAAAATACTGTATTATACAAATACGAATAAATAAAATAACGTATTCTACAAAAAAAATGTCCGAAAAAATCTATCGTTTAAGATTAACTTGCAAGAACGATTTATAAAGGAGGGTTGCAAAAACAATGTTGTACCGGTTCAAGTCCTGCCCTGATTACGTTGCTCTACCTGGCCCCTACCTTATGCTAAGATTAGTCTATGACTTGAGTGTCACGCACTAATGCTTTTCATCAAAATAAGTTCAGCCGTTTACCTCAACGATATGCATGCAACCACTGGCTCTCCAGTGGAGTTCGACCTCTCGTCTTGCTTTCGCGCTGTCGTGTAACACCTTCAATGCCCGTCGCATACCCGTTCTTTTCTCTCTGCATTCTACCACCTGAAAATAACATCACACAATGAAATGAAATCCCATCATTTATTTATATTACATTATAATCAATGCAACACAACAACGGAAATCTACAGACGGAAGCAAAATTTTTCATCTGTGGACGGCCGTTCGTGACTCGGATGGAATTTGTATATTCCTACCACTTATTTCATATCCTGATTTTCAGACGAAGTCCAACATATTTCGTAGAAAAATTAGAAACAAACACTGTCTATAGTTTACGCGAGTAGTACACATTTAAATAAAACACCTTAACGGTTTAAAACGCGATATACTAGTTAAACTTATTTGAAAATGATTTTTAACTTCGGCCCGACTTTCAGATGCTTTGCAGCAGCCGTGGTCACGCGGAGACCACACAAGTTTAACTAATATATCGCGTTTTAAACCGTTAAAGTGTTTTATTTAAATTAGACACAAGTTGGACCCGGTGGGGAGGCCGTCGAACATCTCTTCTTTGACTGCTATTAATAAGGTAAAGAAAACATGAAATTATATAAGAATGATATCTAAAACGTGCGCTTAGTAGAAATCTCACTGTTATAAATTAATCACCACCGTCGTTTACGCGGTACATTCAACTGATAAAGGTATACACATAAATCAATTTTCTTTGATTCCAGATGTAGCCCCATTCGTCATTGTATACAGTGTAACGTTTCGTTACGTAGAAATGTAACAGAAGGCACTGTTACTGGAAATGTGTATAATCATAGAATTTTAGTGTTATGGGAATTTCGCAGAAATCCTATTGAGTAGTACTAGTAACATCATGAGTTTATACGTCCAAGATTTTACAAAAAAATACTTCTACTCTTCCGACAAAGTAGATCGATTCGAATTGAAAAATTACTTTTGTGTCGGAGAGACCATTCATCGAGGTTACTCGTTCTACCTGTGTATTCTGTATAAGATTATAATGTCGCCATGGAGAAATTCCAGACAAACATGTCGTAAGTTCACATAAACGATAGTTTCTACGCAATACGAGTATCGTGTTTTTCACACTTCACGAGTTATCAGCGTGCAAACATACTTATCAAGGGCAAGATATCTGTTTATTCACATTGGTAAAAGGGAATAAATATAGTGAGTGAAAGCTCGCGTCGAAATGTAGATTTAAAGGTTTTTTGGAACTTAAGAGTTAGGGTTAAAATAACCATGCGCAAACGACGTATATACGAGTAGGTATATATCTATACTAATATTTAAAGTTGAAGAGTTTATTTGAACGCCCTAATCTCAAGAAGTAGGTACCTACTGGATGGAATTAATAAAATATCTTTGTATTTGTTAGACCATTTATCGATGAAATATCATAGCGAAGTAACAGGGCGCAATGTGAAAAACATTCGGGAAAAGTATTCATCTCTGTGAGTTTCCGATGAGTACGCTGCGAAAACGGTTAAAGATACCCGAAAAATATGTAAAAAGAATGATTCGTCTTTTAATGAACTAAAAAAGTCCGCGACACTATCTTGTCTATCTTTTAAGAAAATGAGGTTTTCAAAAACAAATTTGGACACCCAAAATTACTATTTTGAAGCTGAGGTCGTTTGAGGGTTTGCGTCCCGCTGTGTCCTTTTTTTTGCACACAGAGGTCTTACCTTTCTACTTTGCTTCTGCGTGTGTCAATTTTAAAATGGTATTAAGGACGTACGGAAAACGGTATGCACAAACCTTTCTTTACGGTTACGAAAAGAGGTTGGGTACCGTCAAATCATACTCTTTCTTACAGACAAGTTCTTTAGACTTCTGTGCCCTGTGCGATCGAAACTTCATAATTTCCTCGGGATTTGAACCTGAAATCTCATGCTTAACGAATTGCTAACGCGTTTAACCATCGCACCACTGAACCGGTCATTTAAAAATAGAAGTTGATAGAAATGGGCTTTATTTGGACGATGTTGGTCAGGAAATTCAAACGCTCGAGGAAATTTATGACATCAAAGAGGTTTTAATCAAAATAGATTGATGTATAAAGTCGGAAAATGAAAGGAAAATCGTTTGACGTTGATATTAATATAAACATAAAGGCACTCCGTCTAATTTTCGCTGAATGTGAAAATAAATTAACATTTTAGTTCTTTGTACTCAGTGTTAGTTATTAGCTAGCGAAATTATTTGCTTAACGGTTTACATTTGCTACCGGTATACGATGGAAAAGTCAGTTTTAAAGTTCTTAGCGTTTGTGTTCAAAATTCTAACGAACAACCTACCTCATTTCAAATTTCTAAAAGCAAGACTTAAGGAAGTCTTTTTACATGTGATGTGATGATGAACTGATTTATTTGCAGGGCAGTTCCCTCATTGCCAGTTGAGGTTTCAAATTTATCAATAAATAAGTTCAAAAAAGTCATAAAATCTAGATTGTCTCGAAATGCGTTTAAAATAATTCTTTAATGACAGCGCTGCCTGGCAGTATTCACAAAAATGTATTAGTTTGTAAGACATGTTGTAAAAAGCCAGACTGAGTTTCTTGGGTGTTCTTCTCGGTTAATTTGATCTTTTGAACATTCTGTAGAATCACGACGGACGGACAAACATATTATTTAATACTTTTTGAAGAATCTAAATAACTTCTTATAATTTTACAGAGAATAAAGTATATTTTATATATATATATATATATAAAAAACTCTGATGCAGTTTCGCTGGCTATAAATTAAATATTGTTTAGAATTTGCACTATCATTCTGTCATTTCGATAACAACGTGTGATTCACTTTTCTATCACACAGTTATGAAATAATTACTTTATCATTTACACCTTAGGTCCGACAACATTCCACTCGGACTTGGCCGGTTTAAATAAAACACTTTAACGGTTTAAAACGCGATATATTAGTTAAACTTATTTGAAAATGATTTTTAACTTCGGCCCGACGTTTCGGATGCTTTGCAGCAGCCGTGGTCACGGGGAGACATCCGTTTAACTAATATATAGCGTTTTAAACCGTTAAAGTGTTTTATTTAAACCGTCCAAGTCCGAGTAGGATCCTCTCATGAAGGATTTCGTATCTTTGAATACATACACAAGCTTCTTATACCTTTATTAATTATTTAAAATGCCTAATTCAATGCCGGTATTTGTAGAAATGTCAATGACAGAGAGCAAAGTATTTGGCATATGGTTTTCTTTTATATACCTTTTAGCAATTGAGTATCTTGATTATTGTAGAATCTAGCAAAAAAAAACATGAATTTAATTACAGTTTGAGCGGAGAAAACTTTTCTTTCCCCGCCGGGTCGTTCACCATTAGGACAGTTTAATTTTTTAAAACTGTCTGTAGTACACATTTAAATAAAACACGGTAATCAATATGTATGGTGTTTAACGGTTTAAAACGCCATATATATTACTTAAACTTATTTGAAAATAATTTTAACTACTTTAAACTTCATTTAAAAAAGTTTCAATTCTGACAACAGCCTAAAGTCGATCTCACTTTTCAGTAGCGTACGCGCAGCCATATGTGCGATCCTTACCGACCTTTACGATTTGTTTTATAGTCTATCCGCATGTGACACAAGTTCTACGCGTTTGATAACGCGATCGATCCGTCATTAGCATAAATGCAAGGACATTTGCCTGGATGGTAATCGGTTATATAATATTATCGTTTCTTATATACTGTACTTGAATAATTATATTAAAAGTTCTATATGAACAGCAGTCTTCGTAGCTCAGTTGCATTAGGATATTATTCCAATATGTACGTACCGTCTGTTCGATCCCTATCGGGTCCAACGTTTTCTATTCAATTTATATCTTTCCTGAACGATGTTGGACTTTGCCCGGAAAATTGGATATTAAATAAGTGGTAGGAATATCGAAATTTCCGGGTCATGAACCTCCGTCCTCACACGAAAAAGCCGTAAAGTTTAATAGCGTTTCGGTTTTAGTTCGTGGATATCCAAATATCCAAGACCAAAATAGGTCAAAAGTTCTTGTTGAGATGTCATATGGCTGGGATGCCACCTTCCGCCAAATGACCGCCTCTGTAAAATGGTTAAACGCATTACCTAGCATTGCCTTAAGCGCGAGAGCTCCTGGGTTCCAATCCCAGAGTAACAAAAAATTGTTTCGGCCGGGAAGGGCACAAAAGTCTTCTCAACTACGTGCCTGTTGAAGAAGGGATCAGTGAAGTGAGTGATGCCCCACTAGGGGGGAAACGGGATTTCACTTTTATCAAATGAAACCCAAGCTAATCTGTCCTGCCTCATAAAAAAATATGACAGAGTAGTCCAGACAAGACAAGCAAGGTCTTTCGTCATCACCGAACCAGCAAGCGTTTTCGGGTGCAGTCCGCGCATTTGCAAAAGTCCAGAGCCAAAATACTGAGGTCAAAATCGCATCTTGTCGGGATGTTATATTAATCCATCTATCAAGTGACTTTACTTACAAGTTTAAACGTTAATACATTTTACATCTTTTCCATCGGAGGATAACTTTGAACACATTTATTAAAAAACCAGCTATCCTCGCGACCTTCGTATCGCCTTGCGCTTAGCAACAGATTTAGCTAGTCATATTTATATTATACGCGTATATTGGAAAAAGTAATTTAATTTAACAATATTTTTTTATCCGGGTATCTTAGGGTGAAATAGGGGTAATTAATAATTTTGTGTTGGTTGGATATATTAAAGTAAGGAAAGTACTATGTGTAGTTTACATGAGTGGTACACATTTAAATAAAACACTCCAACGGTTTAAAGCCTTAAACCGTCTCGCTGTGACCACCGCTGTAAAGATTCCGAAACGTCAGGCAGTTAAAATAATTTTCACATGAGTTTAACTAAGTAATATCGCGTTTAAACCGTTCGCGTGTTTTATTTAAATATGTTAAAGTATGTACTTTAAAAACTTCTAAAATCAATAATAAACACGGTCGCAGAAATCAGTCTGCCCCATGCCCCAAATGGGGGAAGATATTCGATAGGATCCAGTTACGGACATTAGTGGCTAGTAATTGTAACTTGTAGGTCATTTCAATGTCAATCCCTTTTTTCCGACCTTACCTTACCGACATTTACTGGACTTAGTTCTCAACACGTTTCTTACAGCAAAGACCAAAAATAATTAAGGCTTAATTTAACGCTTTTAAGATAGCGATTATATTGATATATGAGATAGTACATAAATGTAGTATGTTATCAAAAATAATCTATGTTCATAGTAAGATAAGAACGAACGGCGCTAAACATTAGTCAATATCGCTAGGAGTTACCCATTGATAACACAAACTAAGTAAGTTGTTTATGACATTTTGGTCATATACTTAGTTTATTTTTCATCATATATTTTAACTTGGCATAGGCAATAGGCTTGTGGCCTAAATTGTCATTACCTTATAAATTATATTATTGTGTAATTTTACGTCATCGCGTTTCTACTGATTTTAATGACGTCACAAGGAAACCAGTATGGGAAAACAATATAGCTGGTTCATTCGTTTACACTACATCAATGTAAATAGTGTGTTACCATTTTTAATGTGACAAAAAATATTTGGTTTACTTAATACTCACTTTAGGTAATTAATGAAATCCTGTTGTCCCTACTTGGGGAGTGCAACCGAGACATTCCTTGTCAATTTTACTAATAAATTTTTGTTTACAAAATAATATTAATATAGCTATGTTAAGCCCCGCTGAACAGAGTAGGTTTCTCTGAGATTGCAAGTCACGACTTCAGGAATACTGTTATATATACAAAATTTTTCAAACTTTGATAATATTTACACAACTAAGTATATGATTTTATATTTAACAGGTGTTTTTAAGAGTTTATTATAAAATAAAGACTAAGAAATATGGCAGAGCATCAAAACAAAGTGCTATTTATTTTATCACAGAGGAGAAAAGCAAAGCATATCATTCACTTGATAGAAGGAGAAATACCCTAGTCATCTCGATCAGTCTAGAAACATCTCAACAAGATGCGCCACTGGCCTACTTTGAATTGAGACATAAAAAGCATATTGCAGTCTTATGTATACCTAGAATGTACTATGTCGTAGAAAGGAATAATTATAGTAATGCCAATATCAATCTTTCTAATTGAATCACATGCTTTCTTGTCTGTTTAACATACAAATATCCTGTTGTGTGTAACAAGCAACATGTGTTTAATGAGTCAAGATTTTATCAAGTCAATTAACTAAAATGGTGAAGGTAATTATGTATCATTAACAAATATGGCATTATTTTATTATTATTTTCTATCGGGAACACCCTTGGCAGACATAGGGGATTGCTACCTATTCCCATCATTGTAAGATGTCTATTTAGACTGCAATGGACTGTTATGATTTCTACGATGAGTCTGATATTCGCTTTCGTTAGTCTCATCAGGTTTTTGGTCTTCTTTTTATCTAGGCTATTTATAAACATTTTCGACTGTCTCATGCCAGTCGAAGATTTCCTTTGGTTTGTCTCTTCTGTAATTATGCGCTTGATTATTTCCTTGGTTACTTTATGGGCTATCGGAAGTCAAAAAATATGGCATTCTTCTTAGGCTAATATTAAGGGTCCATGCATACTTCCTACAGTGATAAAAGGCTACCACAGACATATTACCTGGCCTTCATAAATAGTAAGTAGGTATCTTCAATACAGGAATTGTAGCTAATAGGTGGCAATAAAAGTTGTCAATGGACTAAAAATTCTACAGTTGTGTTCAAAATTATAGTTAAATAAAAATTCTTGTAAAGATTGTTCAATTTTATACTTATAAACAGAAACACAAGCTTTGAGAACTTTCAAAATATAAATAGGAAATAAAATTCTTTTAAAGCAAATAAGAATCTTATGTGGAATTCATAGTTGAAAATTAATACAAACGCAATTTAAATTACTTGAATCATTAAGGGGAAAAAAAACGCTCATCAATGCTTCATTATGAAACTTGATTGTTTGTTACTAAAAATAAGCGTTTTTTCTACAATTACTAATGACATTGATATTTCAAGAATCCCCAATTTGTCGCGACGAAACCAACTTGTTTCAAGTGGGTTATATTTTTGAACTTTACGTCACACCATGTAAACAATGAAAAAAGTTGTGCAGTTCAAAACCTTCGTGATTTTGTGAGTAATACCAACCTTTCCATTGATCCCAAGGCCGAGGACTGTTGTGGAGATGTCATAATCATCGGTAATCGGGGAGGTTTTTGGAGTTCTTGGAGCATTATCCATTTTGCTATCTGTTTGCACAGCCACTGTATAACACACACGCCACACAACGAACTTTCCGTTTTAAATACTCACAGATAAATAGTTCATGCACAATAACACACGATACACAAAAACCTATTAATTTTATATCTTATTTCGCGTGAATCCTACACACCGTGTGAGCTATGACGAATCTTTTTATTTAGTATTTCGTAGAAGTTAAAACCCTTCTTTCACGGTTCAATGTTCAAACGTCAAACATTGTGACAACTGACAGTGGTAGTGACGTATCGTCTACTGTCAGTTAACATAGGCAAATCAAAATAATAACCGTTTTCTACAGACAAAGAAAATGACATTATAATTGCGTCTTAGCATCAATAGATCGCGCTTTTTACAATTATTTTATACAAGTAATATGCCTTATAAGCTACAATTAAAATTCTTTATTAATCTAAGGCTGCATGTAAGATGTTTATTCAACTTGTTGAATAAACTGTATTGAAATACATACGTGCTATTTAGTGTTGACTTTCAGTTTCTTTCGTAGCGACGGACGAAAGTCTATGACAATAATATATCGTTAACAGAAGCTGCGCAAAAACAGAGGACGGTATAATAACTTCACGGTACACAACCAAGTTGATGAATAGCCCTTGACTTTGTTGGGTATTCACTATGACCACAGTAATTATATAAAAAAATGTCGTTGAAAAAGTGAAATCGTTATAGATAAAATTATTTTAGATATGGGTTTTCAGTTGGTGCAAAATGCTGGTCAGTGAAAAGTAAAATAAAAAAAATATATATTAATTTGTAATGTGTAGTTTGTTTATTTCTTTAATCTGTTCTATAAAATTGTTACCTAATAAATTGTAAGATAGGTTACAATTTAGGAAAAAAATAATGTAGTTGACATAAGTGCGAAATAAAACACTTTTACCAGATTAAAACGCAAAAAATCATCTCAATTAATAAAAAAAAAAAATACCAACCTTTCTAATGCTTTCTGCTTAATTTCAAACTATAAATTATGAAACGCGCTTTTAACGTTTTATAATTTGTAATAAATTTAAATCAATAATAATAATAAAATAACTCCGATGTACTTAAGGTGATGAAAGTACACATTAAAGTACTATGCCTACTCTGTAGAGGCAGGGTAGTCTAATCATATAAAGCATGATTTTCAATAGGGACGAAAATAAAAATTCGCAAATAACTTAGGCGAAAATGAATTTGTACTATTGTTTTTGTAAAATTATGTTAACAATTTCCGTTATTGTGCTGTTGTAAATTAACATTTTGTGACTATGAAAATAAAAATAACTCAAGTCATAAAAATTTTAATTAGGCTAGCGGTTTCATATTATATCGTGTCGTGGGTTTTAAATCTTGTTTGTGTGTTTCTTTTAAAATTAAAAAATTAATAATTTACGCTATGGGTGCGTTATTCAATTAAGATTGTACGTCCTTCGTGTTTTGGCAATCCTATGTTCTTACAAGTTATAATGTAACACATAATTTTAATTATCAGACTTATCTCAAACGCATTTCCATAATCGTCGGCTTTCTAAACTTGCACAATCTAAGCAAATGCTCAATTACTATGTAGATTAGATCTTAGATCTTGTTCCACATAAGTGTTACTGCGATGGTCTTCGAGAATTTTCTTCAGCCTATGACGAAAAAAATGTTTTAAAGCGTACAAAATAAAACTTTACATAATCTGTGAAAGATTTTGATAAATCAATGTGATCATATTATATTAAAATTTTGACATTGACAGTTTCTACCTAATATGACGTGGCAAAATAGACATATTTTTTTTTTTAAATTGGGTTGTAACTGTTTAATAATAAAGATATTCATCTTGCCTACTTAAAAAATATATTTTCTGAAAAAAAATTATTTGTAAGCTTACTGTTATGTGTGATGAGTGTCAAATTTTGTTATTCTAGTTGTGATTAGTATTAGACTTAATTAGAATTATAGTTTTAATTGTGTGTAATTGACGTATATGTAAAAACTAATGTTCTGTATTATTTATAAGTATGTAAAACATATATGTTGTATGGAAACCAAATAAATAAATTGCGTCTAGGTCTTGAGACATACACATTAGTACGTCCGTTTTACTGATCCATTTATCTTACAGTCAAGTTGATCATATTACTGCGCCCTACCCGGCAAATATATTTTTTGTTACCCGCGATTCGCACCAAGAACAGTGCTAAATCGAAAGCCAGGAACATGTCTAGGTCATACATCTTTGTAGGTGGCTTTAAAATGTATCCTTTGTTACCTTTGTCATTTATAAATCAATGCCCTGAAGATTTTACTGCTCATATAATCTTGAAACATTTGTCTCAACTGGATGACGTCATTAGTCACTTTCACTATGACTCACTGGGGCCAGGAAAGGTCGATAAATAAATATTTTTTATTAAATTTAGTTTCCAAATAACTATATATGTTTAACGTTAAACAATTATACTAAATTGAGACTTCTTTTAACGCTGTATTCAATGTAGGCTGATTAGTATATTCAAAAATGCTGTTTTTTATTAAAATTTTAATACAATGCTGAATAACTCTGATTTATGTATTTAACTTATATTTATGAGTGTAACAAATTTTAAAAGACTATAAATAAATATTTTTACAGTTAAAATCTAGAAGATCCCATACCCCGTACCCCTATTGGGTAAAAACCTAAAATTGTTAAATAAATTAAAGTAGGTTTTTATAGCCACACAATATAGACGTCATGTCTACACTTAAAACTACTCGATGCTTATTCGACGTTCGCACAACGCTAACATTAACTCACAGAATTAATTCACCACTATGGGGCACGGGGCAGACAAGTATGTATCAGATATAATTTTTAACGGTTTAAAACACTAAATATATTACTTAATTTTTTTTAGCTTTAACTACGACTTGACGTTTCCGATGTTCTGCAGCAGCGTGGTCATGGGACACTCCAAAACTGTAAATAAATTAACATATATTGTGTTTTAAACCGTTAAAAAGTTTTCACCACCGAGCAGAGTCGTCGTTCGCGGTTTTCACCTATCATAAATTAACTACAGTAATTAACGCCTCAACCCATACTAGAACTACATGGTGAGTCTAAGCTTATAATGTCTTTTCCCAAAAAAACAATGCCATTAACAAAATCTTTATAATTATATACGAATGTACACAGCTGGCCGGATACAAAATCAGACCATAGATATTTCTAAAAAGGATACTATTAAAACAGGGAAACATTAATCAGTGTATTGTATAATGATAATTTCATTAATATGTATTACGCGCGGCTCAGGGTTAACAAACCGTCGGCACGCACAATTGACGAAATTTTATAAAATGCGTTGTCTGTAGTAACCAGGAGTCGTTAGATAAAACACTAGTATTAAACATTTTTATCTGCAAGTATGAACGATTATTGATGTTTATATTCATAATAATATATAAACACGAAAGAGCTAAATATGTTTATAATAAAACACTGTCTACATATCTACGCATGCGTAGTAAGGCACTTTACGGTTTTAAACTTTAACTAATATATCGCGTTTTAAACCGTTAAAGTGTTTTATTTAAATATGTTTATAATAATTTTTTTTAGCAAAATAATTTATACTGAATATCTTAATTACTTTGTGGTCAGCTCAAGTTCAAGTATCAAAAGCTATCTATCATTAATAGTTATAAAAAATGAAAAGTCTATAGTTTACGCGAGTAGACACAATTAAATAAAACACTTTAAGGTTTAAAAGCGATAATTAGTTAAACTTATTTTAAAATGATTTTTATTTCGGCCCGACGTTTGCGGATGCTTTGCAGCAGCCGTGGTCACGGGAGACCCCCGCTGTCCCCCCGTGACCCGTGTCGGCTGCACGGACCAGACAAACATGGTGATTCATTTGATAGTAGATTAAATACCACAGTCATATGACATCTAAACAAAATACGCTACCTACTTATTTTTCCTTGCATATTCGGAAATTCAGAGACTGAAGCGGAAACTCGAGTACACTTCACGGCTTTTTCAACTGTGGTGGTCCGTGTATGTGAGATTTCCAGACAAGATCCAGGCGCCGTAGTTAAAAAAAATTTCAAATAAATTTAACTAAAATATATCGCGTTTTAAACTGTTGTAAAATCGAACATGTTTTAGAAAACTCATTGATTTGATGATAATTGATTAGAAACGTGTTGGACCCAGTGGGATCGAACACACGTGCCATACATTACTACCATTGCACCACGGAGCCCGTCGATTTGTAAAGGTTGGCCACCCCTGCGCCATGCGGTTCGGAAAAAGCCGCGAAATTGCATAATTTGAGTCGCGAAGCGTAACACGCTGTCAAACGGGTAAAGGCAGATGGCAGCCGAAGTGCATTTTAATACGAACTCACGATAATTCACAGGTCGCGAGAGTTCTTCACGAGTCAATGAATATTGTTTATTAATTTTTTGCACAGTTGGTCACTTAGTTTTATAATCTGTATTATGTTACGACTTGTGTCACAGACCACCATACTTCATTGAAGTCGAACCAAAAAGGTTGTAAATGAGAAAAATCTATGAAATCTGTCATGTAGTTTAAAAAACCGTAGATTAAGCACGTTTCGGTTTAAGTCTGTGAAGTTGCGAATAGTATGGATATTCTTGTCTATCTTAGCAATCTTGTACAACAGTTAAATAAATAATTATATAATACTATTAATGATACACAAACATTTTGAAAACTTTAATATTTTTCACATGATGGCACTAGATAATGTAAAAATAAAATAAACAATTTTGACTTGGGCAGGACTTGAGCCGGCAACGTCAGCGTTCCGTGCTGTTGCTCAACCGATTGAGCTACCGAGTCTCTTGGTTTAAATTATTTTCGATTTTTAAATCACAAACATTGAATTAAAAAAAGAGGTTCTGGGTTCGAATCCCAGGGAGACACAAAAATTGTTTCGTTACTATTTGCCTGTTAAAGAACAGATCAG